TGGTGTGGGATGACACCTGTTTCTGACTGAAACTTTGCCCACACTCTCCACAAACATAGGGCTTCACCCCTGTTGTGTGTCCTCTGTTGTCTGATGAGATCGGACTTCTGAAACTTTGCCCACTCTCTCCAAAACATAGGACGTCTCCCCTGTGCGTGTCTTCTGTTGTCTGATGAGATTGGACCTCATACTGAAGCTTCACCCACAAACCCCACAAACAGGGCTTCTCCCCTGTGTCCTCTGGTCTCTCAGAAACGAATTCTAACTGAACCTTCACCCACACTCCCTGCAAACAGGGTTTTGATCTGTGTGTGATGACACCTGACTTCTAATTGAAACTTGGCTCACTGTCCACAAACATAGGGCTTCTCCCCTGTGTGTGTCCTTTCTTGTCTGGTTAGACGGGACTTCTGACTGAAACTTCGCCCATACTCTTCAAAAAACATAGGGCTTCTTCCCTGTGTCTTGTGGTCTGATGAGATGGGACTTCGAACTGAAACGTTGCCCACACCCACCACAAACAGGGCTTCTCCCGTGTTACCTCTGGTCTCTAATGAGAACTGACTTCTAACTGAAGCTTAACCACACCCCCTGCAAACATAGGGTTTCTCCACTCTGCCTTTCCTCTGGTGTCTAATGACGCCTGACTTCGAACTGAAACTTTGCCAACACTCTCCACAAACACAGGACTTCTTCCCTAGGTATATCCTTTCTTGTCTCGTTAGATGGGACTTCTGACTGAAACTTCGCCCATACTCTCCACAACCATAGGGCTTCTTCCCTGTGCCTTTCTTCTGTCGTCTGATGAGATGGGACTTCTGACTGAAACTTTGCCCACACCCCCAACAAACAGGGCTTCTCCAGTGTGTTTCCTCTGGTCTGTAAAGAGAACTGACTTCTAACTGAAGCATCAACCACACTCCATGCATAGGTTCTCTCCCCAGTGTGTGCCCTCTGGTGTCTGATGACAACTGACTTCTGACTGAAACGTTGCCCACACTCCACACAAACACGGTGCTTCTCCACTCTGTGTGTGTCTTCTGGAGTCTGATGAAATTGGACCTCACACTGAAGCTTCACCCACACGCCCCACTAACAAGGCTTCTCCCCTGTGAATCCTGTGGTCTCTCAGAATTGACTTCTAACTGAAGCTTCACCCACACTCCTGCAAACATACGGTTTCTCCGCGGTGTGTGTCCTCTGATGTGTAATGACACCTGACTTCTGACTGAAACTTTCCCCACACTCCCACAAACATCAGTCTTCTCCACTGTTTCTGTATTCTGGAACATGATGAGACTGGACCTCACATTGAAGCTTCACCCACACGTGCCACAAAACAGGGCTTCTCCCGTTTGTCCTCCGGTTTCTCAGAATTGACTTCTAACTGAATCTTCATCCACAGTCCCTGTAAACATACAGTTTCTCCGCGGTGTGTGATAACACCTGCCTTCAAACTGAAACTTGGCCCACTGTCCACAAACATAGGGCTTCTCCCCTGTGTGTCCTTTCTTGTCTGGCTAGATGGGACTTCTGACTTTTCGCCCACACTCTCCACAAACACAGTGCTTCTCCCATGTGTCTTCTAATCTGATGAGATGGGATTTCTAACTGAAACTTTTCCCACACCCCCCACAAACAGGGCTTCTCCCTTGTGTTTCCTGTGGTCTGAAATGAGAACTGACTTCTAACTGAAGCAGCTCCCACTCTCTGCAAACATAGGGTTTCTCCCCGGTGTGTGTCATCTGGTGTGTGATGACACCTGACCTCTCACTGCAACTTTGCCTACACTCTCCATAAACACAGACTTCTCCCCTATGTGTGTCTTCTCTTGTCTGCTTAGATGGGACTTCTGACTGAAACTTCACCCAAAATCTCCACATAGACCTTCCCCCGTGTCTTCTCGTTTGAGGAGATGGGACTTCGAACTGAAACTTTGCCCACAACCACCACTAACAGGGCTTCTCCCTTGTGTGTCTTTTGGTCTCTCAGAACTGAAGCTTCACCCACACTGCCTGCAAACATAAGGTTTCTCCTCGGTGTGTGTCCTCTGGTGTGAGATGACAACTGGCTTTTGACTGAAACTTTGCCCACACTCTCCACAAACATAGGGCTTCTCCGCTGTGTGTCTTCTCTTGTCTGATGAGATAGGACTTCTGACTGAAACTTGGCCAACACTCCCCATAGACATGGGGCTTCTCCCCTATGTGTGTCTTCTGGAGTCTGATGGGATTGGACCACACATTGAAGCTTCACCCACACCCCCCACAAATGGGGCTTCTCCCCTGTGTCCTCTGGTCTCTAATGAAACTGACTTCTAACTGAAACTTCACCCACACTCCCTGCAAAAACAGGGTTTCTCACCTCTGTGTGTATTCTGGTGTGTGATGACACCTGATTTCTCACTGAAACTTTACACTCTCCATAAACATAGGACTTCTCCCCTGTGTATTCTCTTGTCTGATGAGATGTGACTTCTGAAACTTTCCCAGCACTCAACACAAATACGGGGCTTCTCCCGTGTGTGTCTCTTCTGGAATCTGATGAGATTGGACCTCATACTGAAGTTTCACCCACAGGCCTCACAAACAGGGCTTCTCCCCTGTGTGTCCTCTGGTCTCTGCGAACTGACTTCTAACGGAAGCGTCACCCACACTCTCCTCAAAGATAGGGTTTCTCCCCAGCATGTGTCCTCTCGTGTGTGATGACACCTGACTTGACTGAAACTATGCCCACACTCTCCACAAACATAGGGCTACTCCCCTGTGTGTCTTCTGTTGTCTGATGAGATGGGACTTCTGACTGAAGCTTTGTCCACACTCCATGCAAACATAGGGCTTCTCCCATGTGTGTGTCCTCTGGTGTGTGATGAGACTTGACCTATCCTTGGAGCCTTGCCCACACTCTCCATACTTGACTCTTATAATCCCTGAGACTCCTGCCCCCGTGAATAACTTGCCTGTTTCTTCTGCATTCAGTTTCTGGCTTGTGCTGGGCTCTTTTATCATTCTCTCATGCACCTCAGAACCCCCCTTTTGTCTTTTGGTTGAGTAGGAAGAGGCCATTGAAATCCTCTTCAGCCTTATGCAATATGTGGGGCCTTTCAGCAAAGGATGGGGCCTTTTCTTGCCCTCTCGATGCTCCACTTTGTCACTCAGGCTATGTGGATCAGAATATCACAGCTGCTGATTTTGATTGCCTGGGCAGGGATCCTCTGGTCAGAGTTGGTCTCTTGCAGATGGTCTCAGGAGGATCTGAGGGGAATTTTTTACTGGAGAAGGCCAGAGAGCAGGATACACAGGGTAGATCTTGGGCTTTGGTTCTGGTGATAGAGGAATCTTTTAGTCAGGTAGCTAGTTTTCCATGGTACTGCCTGCCCCACTAATCATCTTAGTGTTGACACTGCACAATTTGTCTCCCATCAAGTGTGCCTTTACAGTCCTCTTTTCCATTCCATTCTTATTCTCTACAACTACAGAAATCCAGGAAGCCTGTGTTAAGGGCCTTTTCTACATATTACCCAGACTAGGTACCTTGCAGGCGCATCAGAGCCAGTGTCTCTCCTGATAGAGGTGGATCTGCAGGGACCTTTCCCTGTGTGTAAATGAAAAGTGATGTTACAGGGCCACAGGTATTTTACCCTATTAAGAGATAAGACTCTTGGGTGACTCAGGTGGAATCTCCCTGAATGGCTCCCTCTGAGGGGAAAGAGTCTGTTAAGTTAGGAGTGCCTGGCCTGGAGCTCACTGCATATGGGAGGCAGCACAGGGGGTGATTAGAGCAGGTGTGAGTAAAACTGAATTTGAGACTCCTTATTCAAAGAGTAGTCTTTGTGTTGATCTCTGCAGGAAGTGGGTTTCAGACTGGATGAGACCAAGAGGCCCAGGTCCCACTGACTACAGGTCTCTGGCTCCTGCTACCCCAACTATTTCATAATTTGCTCCTCTGTTTTCCGTAAATCATAAAACAAAGATGTGTCCTTTCTTAAGCCTCACCAGTACTCACACCTCATTTATTTCACTCAGTTTTAGTCCATTTAACATGCACTAGGAAGCCCTGGTTAAAAATACATCTCCAACCAGACTCCTCACACCCTCACTCCCATGCGTCTTCAGTCAGCCCACTCTTCCCTCGTATCTGGCAAGGAACTGACCTCTGAGGGTACTCCCTGCTGCTGTCTCTTCCCAAAAATGAGCTGCAGCATTGTCTTAGCACAGATACCATGCCACTTGCAGCTGAAAGCTGCACGGTTGCTCTGTGTCTCCAGGAAGACCACTGGGGGCCTGCACATGGACATGGATACCGAGGCTTTGGTGCTACATCCAGCCTCCTCCTTCTCTCTCTGTGCTTGCTCCTGCAATCACTCGCATGACTTCTCTTCCCGGCCCTGGGGCTACAGCACTAGTTGCTCCCCTGCCGGGAATCCTTACCCAGAAGTGTCATCTCTGGAGAGACCCTGCCCCACCATCCTCCACCACACCCCACCCTCTGCTCATACTGACCCAAGGCACTTTTCCTGCACTGGTTTTCCTCAGAGCACCAGCCCCTGTCTGGTATGAAGCCAATGCTGCCCCAAGGCAGTGGTTCTGTCTGTTTCAGTGCGCGGAGCCCTGTCTGGCACAGAGTATGAACTCACTTGACAACAAACTGAAACAGTAACTGAATGCAAATCACTGTACGCATGTCACTCAAGATATGTGTAGGAAATGAGGAAGAAACAGGTAAAGGTGAGAGGGCTGGTATGTGCTAGAAAACTTGCTTTTCACTTATACGCCTTTCAGCAGAAAGGGTATTACATATTTTTTGCATGAAATATTGAACATTAGAACTAACATTTTTAATATAAACATTTTCCTAACCGTCATATGAAATAAAGCAAATTCTGAGGCATTTTAGTTGCAACCTGACTGACTCTAGACTGGATTGTACCCTGCTTCAGAATTGGACCAAGGAGGCTCCCCAGGACGTGGTGGGGGCACCAGAAGAGGGGTGGCACTCACCTTTCCCATCCACGAGCTTGCTCTTTTCCCTGCTGTCCTGCTTGATGCCAAGTTCCTTGCCACACTCGTCTGCACATCAGACCTGAAGTTCACAGCCCGGCCTGACCACCTGGCAGATTTGGTAGAAGATCTGCCAAACTGCAAGGCCATCAGGTTCTGCTCCTCGTCGTCCCAGGCACAGTTCACATACCTGGGCTATAGGCCAGGAAACGGAAAGAAACCACAGGTGATGAGTCCCCTCCACTGTCAGACCATGCCCAGCTCCTTGCCTTCAGATTCTGAGGTCACCATGGCTCCCACCACCCCTCACAGGGACCTTCTGTTCACACCTTCGACCAGGCCATGTGAATTCCTATCTCCAGATCCTGTTTCTGGTCCTCTTCCTGGTTGGAATACTCTTCTCTCCTTACTTAATTAGCCATTGTCCAGGGCCCAGTTCCAGACTTGTCTCCACCTGGACTGTCCATAAGACTGGTGATCTCCAGCTCCTCTAAACTCTAAACTAAGTTCTCTTTCATTCCACAGGACTTGGTGCTCCTAAGCTAGCAAGCGCCACTCAGCACTCAGTCCAGCCTGCCTTCTTTCCCAAGGCTTTTCTCCAATCTCCCTACATGTATACAGGGTCCTATTCACTTGCCCACCCCCTCCCATGGAAACTTGGAGAGTGCTCTGACGTAGTTTGAAACACACAACAGTAAGAGTTTGTTCACTTTCTGCCTGCCCTGATGAAAGGAGAGGCCCTCAGAAAATGGCCATGCTCATGGCCATCTTGCCCTCCCCTATTCCTTCCCAGGCCTCCGGGCCCACTTCTCACTGGAACAGAGCCTGGAGAGGGTGTTGCCCACATGGACTCAACATCTCCCATGTTACATTATCCTGGTGCTGTGGAGTTATTAAAAAATATAAAAATTAAGGTTACTATCCCTAAAACCGATTGGTTAAAGTCTGTCTGCATTATGTTCTCCAAAAGGACATGGGTTGTGTGATCTGCTTCAGTAGTGAAGTTCACTGTCTAAACTGGGACATAGAGTGCTTGGTAAGTGTCAATTAAGTGAGTTAAAGTATCCCTGGTGAATCTAAACTCCTCAAGTTGTTTTCAAGTACCTCAGTGTTGTTGAGAATATAGATGTATTTTGAGAGCACAAGCTGTATTTTTCTTTCTAATGTCTTTTGAAATTATGAAGAGCATGATATGGAGGGAAAAGAGGAAAGAAGATGTGAAAGCTAGTGAGGGAGATGGGTTGAGAAGGAAAGGGGTGTGGGCTTGAGGGAGGAACGTCATCTACAAACTGCAGACACTGCACTCACCTCATCCAGTTGACCAAAGGTGTGTCCTTTCCACCCACATACTCATAGCCATTTCTCCCTTTGGTAAGCTGAGTGTCAGAAGAGAGCTACAAGCTTTCTTCTCTCTTTGAATTTTTTTGGCAGCAAATAATAGAAGAGCTATTTCCCTCTGCTGTCACTGATGTGCTTCAGCCTGCATGGATTCAACTGTCAGTCGAACCATATGCTACGCTCTTGAATCATCATTTCAAGTCTGAGTCTACTGGTAGACTGAAGGCAAGGGCTCCACAAGTGAGGAGTCACTTCTGTATTCCTGTACAACTGTCTCCCACCTTCCTCTGATCTTTAGATAGAAGTCCTGTGTTCATGACCAGTGCACACAGTACACAGGGCTGACTGTGTCATTGATGACCGTGTCATCATCATTTGCACCCTTGCATGTAGATATGAAGTACCCCCACTACCACACACAAGCGATTAGAGGCCAGAGGACAGGGAAACAGGGTTATTTCTCACCAGCCAGGAGCATCCACTGTTGGCGGCCTCTTCATCATCTGTGATCTGGCCCTCTTAGGGGTCAAACTGCAGGCCCAAAGACAGATCAGATGCTCTGCTCCATGCTCCAAGCCCAGCCGCAGGGATGCCTGATGGTCTGATACTTAACCCAGGGGGCAGAGTGAGGGCTGAGCATTTGGCGTGCACTTTCTCCACTGCAGAGTCCTTTACAAAGGTTGGGGGCCTGTGGGCACCACAGCTGTCAATGAAGAAGTTCTGACACTCCTCACAAACTGGAGGTGAGAGCAACAGGGATGAGGGGAAGTACAGTTATGCTGCTGGTTGTAAAGACCTTCAAAAAGAACTGGGGCACTCATAGCATTTGGCCTCGATCCTGTACCCCAAGTCATAGAGGAAAGGTACGATTGGGGTACAAATGGTGAGGTGAGGCTACTGTACCAAGGCCTTATAACCCCTTCGCTGTGAGTGGGCCAGTGGGGTCGTCATCCTGGGGCCCTCTGACCCTTGGTACACATGGCCCTTTCTTTCTCATAGACTATACCTCTTCACTTCAGCCTCCTTTCTTCTGAGTTCTAAGATGGAGAACAGAAGTAAAGCAAGGCTGGTGGGGCCTGCAGAGTTAGCCCCTGTTTTATCACAAAGTGTGAGATCTCCTACTTGTCCATCTACACACTCTGCCAAAACTTTTTTTTATATTTATTTTTCAAACTTTTACTTTTGTATTTTTAAGTTTCAGTGTTACATTATTTATTTATTGGCCATGCTGCATGGCTTGTGGGATTTTAGCTCCCCGACCAAGAATGGAACCCACACCTCCTGCAATGGAAGCATGGAGTCTTAACCACTTAACCATCATGAAGCCCATTCTCCCTTTTAACTACGGTTCAGGAGACTGAGGTGCCACACTGAACACAGATGCCCAGTTCAGTGTTAGCTTCCTGTGCTTCCCATTTGTAGGTTTAACTTCCCAACCTTCTTCCATAGGAAATAGTTCACTGACACATTTACTCAAAAAATACATGTGAAGGGCATATGACACATAAGGCAATGAGCAGAGATCTGGGCATAAACACTAACAAAGCAGGGTCCCTATTATCACAGCTGAATTTATTGGACTACTTGTAGTGTCAGCAGTTTTGCATTTAATGGAATGCTTTCAAATACTGTATGAGTTATGCATTCTCACCTTCACTTCACAGATGTGCAACCAGGACCTCAGAAAATGTATGAGTTTCCAAAGGCCCCACTGTTACTTCATGTCTCAGATCAGTCCACCTTAAACCAACACCTACCCAGAGTCCATACCACACACCCAGGCCATACTTATTAGCTTTTCTACAGGGGTAAGAGGAACTAACTAGAGAACTCCCCAGATTTTCTCTGGCCAATTGTCGTCTGGGGTGCTGTCCAGGGGTCCTTCATTCTCTGGGAGGGGGCACTGGTTTCTAAGCCTGCTTGGAGCCATTTGTATCCAGCAGTTTTGATGCTCATGGCAATTTCTTCAAACTACATACCTCAATCAATGGTCACCTGGACATTCCCTTCCACGTGGGTAAAAGACAACAAGCATTTCTTCAGTTCTTTAGGATATTATGAAGTGTTTCACATGCGTAACTTGCGGTACAGTTCAGTCGCTTAGTCGTGTCCAACTCTTTGTAACCGCATGAATTGCAGCTCGCCAGGCCTCCCTGGTGTCCAGCACCATCTCCCGGAGTTTGCTCAAACTCATGTCCATCGAGTTGGTAATGCCATCCAGCCATCTCATCCTCAGTCGTACCTTCTTCCTCCTGCCCACAATCCCTCCCAGCATCAGGGTCTTTTCCAATAAGTACTCTTCGCATGAGGTGGCCAAAGTCCTGGAGTTTCAGCTTCAGCATCAATCCTGCCAATGAACACGCAGGACTGATCTCCTTTAGGATGGACTGATTAGATCTCCTTGCAGTCCAAGGGACTCTCAAGGGTCTTCTCCAACACCACAGTTCAAAAGCATCAATTTTTCAGCACTCAGCTATCTTCACAACCAACTCTCACATCAATACATGAGCCCTGGAAAAGCCATAACCTTGGCTAGATGGACTTTTGTTGGCAAAGTAATGTTTCTGCTTTTTAATATGATATCTAGATTGGTCATAACCTTCCTTCTAAGGAGTAAGCATCTTTTAATTTCATAGCTGCAATTACCATCTGCAGTGATTTTGGAGCCACCCCCGCCCCGCCCCCGAAATAAAGTCTGACACTGTTTCCACTGTTTCCCATAAATTTACCATGAAGTGATGAGTGATGGGACCAGATGCCATGATCTTAGTTTTCTGAATGTTGAGCTTTAAGCCAACTTGTTCACTCTCCTCTTTCACTTTCACCAAGAGGCTCTTAGTTCCTCTTCACTTTCTGCCATAAGGGTGGTGTCATCAGCATATCTGAGGTTATTGATATTTCTCCCAACAATCCTGATTCCAGCTTATGCTTCTTCCAGTCCAGCGTTTCTCATGATGTACTCTGCATGTAAGTTAAATAAGCAGGGTGACAACATACAGCCTTGACGTACTCCTTTTCCTATTTGGAACCAGTCTGTTTTTCCATGTCCAGTTCTCACTGGTGCTTCCTGACATGCATGTAAGTTTCCTAAGAGGCATGTTAGGTGGTCTGGTATTAACATCTCTTTCAGAATTCTACACAGTTTACTGTGATCCACACAGCAGAAGGCTTTGGCATAGTCACTAAAGCATAAATCGTGTTTTTTTTTTTTTTCCCCTACAGTTCTCTTGCTGTTTCCACAATCCAGCAGATGTTGCCAATTAGATCTCTGGTTCCTCTGTCTTTTTGAAAACCTGCTTGAACATCTGGAAGTTCATGGTTCATGTATTGCTGAAGGCTGGCTTGGAGAATTTTGAGCATTGCTTTACTAGTGTGTGAGATGAGTGCAATTGTGTGATAGTTTGAGCATTCTTTGGCATTGCCTTTTTTTTTTTCTCATTTATTTGTATTAGTTGGAGGCTAATTACTTTACAATATTGTACTGGTTTCTGTCATACATTGACATGAATCAGCCATGAATTTACATGTATTCCCCATCCCGATCCCCACTCCCACCTCCCTCTCCACCCGATCCCTCTGGGTCTTCCCAGTGCACCAGGCCCGAGCACTTGTCCCATGCATCCAACCTGGGATTGTGATCTGTTTCACCCTTATATATGTTTTGATGCTCTTCTCCCAAAACATCCCACCCTCGCCTTCTTCCACAGGTCCAAAAGTCTGTTCTGTACATCTGTGTCTCTTTTTCTGTTTTGCATATAGGGTTATCGTTACCATCTTTCTAAATTCCATATATATGTTAGTATACTGTATTGGGCTTTATCTTTCTGGCTTACTTCACTCTGTATAATGGGCTCCAG